GACCTAGGTTGGATGATCCCTGACCCTGCCACCCCCTCACAGGGGGTACTCCCACCATCCCACATGCTCAAGGCCAACCCCAGCAGGACCTGTGCCCAGACCTCACCCAATACACCAAAGAAGCCACAACATTACTTCTTATGATTGTTTAATGCTTCTATCAGAGTTGCACGGGGGTGGGGGGTGCCCAAAAGTTAAAGTAGGAAGGCTCAAGGTGAAAGCACTGAGCTTCTTCAAGGGGATCTTATTTCAAGCTGGTCATTGGCCGAGGACAGTAGAAGCTTTTAGAAGCAGAGAGATTGGCTAATTTTAGCTCAGGGTGCCCAAATTTGTTCCCAAGGCACATCACATGGAGCCCAGCAAGCCCTCAGCTTTGTTCCCCTCGAGGCAAAGGTGAGCCATGAAAGTCACAGCTGCAGCTGAACAGTCAAACCCACGGTTCTCCACGTGTTTTGTGGAACCAGCCTGCCACAGAGGCTCGGGAGGGCCGCCTCCTGATGATAGCAGTGGGTGACCGAGGAGGCCATGGGGCTTGCAGGGACAGCCAGCTTTCCTTTATTCTGATTTATTTTTAACCAACATTGTGTTCCTGGAGAGGCCCTTGGTTAGAGCCCCCTCCCCGGAAAATGCCAAATGTGGTCTTCAGCCCTGGATAGAGGCAGGCATAAATTGTTGGAATGAGCTCAACATCCCAGAATCACAGACTGTCCACTCTGGGAAGGACTTTAACAACCATCTAGTCCATGGGATAAATAAGAAAAGGAAGGCCCAGTAAAATCAATTGCCATGTCCACTGTTACACAACAAAGAAAGGGTGAGAACTGGTGACTGACACACCCCAAGATAAGCCTTATTACTCTACTGGGATAAGACGGCAGAGTGATTTTATAATCTTGTTTTAAATATTTCCTTTGTGGCTTGGACACTGTTTTAGATGATCCTAAGAGCATCCAGCATGGTCTACTACAAAGAGTGTTCTACAGGGAGTCAGAATACTTAGATCTAACTAAATGAACTGGCTGTGTGGCTGTGGGCAAGTTGCTTCCCCTCTCTGAGCCTTGGTCTCTCCATCTTAAAATGAAGGAATTGGTTTATTTTAGAGCTTCTAATCTTTTTTTAGGGAAGTCATGAATTCCTTTGAGAATCTGGTGAAACGGGTGCTTTGCACTTTGAAATGCACATAATCCCGGAAATTCACACATTCCTCATGGAAACGCCTGGCTAAGAACCCTGGGACTGATTACTTTGTGATGGCCCTTCCAGGTATCACATTCTAAAGTTATAAAAGCAAAGCCATCAAAATAGAATCAATGGGCCCCCAGTACCTCCAGGATCAAGGCCCACTAGATACCTTCCACTGTACTGAAGAGTTAACCCACCCTTCACCAACTCACTTCTTTGGCTCATCTCATTCTGGCCAGAGAGAGGTTGAACCAAACTTTCAAAGTGATTGTTATGGATTGAACTGTGTATCCCAAAAATTTGTGTTGTAAATCCTAACCTCTATGCCTGTGGTTATAATCCCATTTGAGAATGAGTTATCTGTGTTACGTTAATGAGGTAGGATTAGTGTAGGGTGTGTTTTAAGTCCATCTCTTTTGACATATAAAAGAGATTAAACACATAAGTGAAAGAAGCACAGATGGGGGAAGACAGATGCCAAGCCATATGAAGATGGCCCAAGAACAGAGGCTCAAAAGAGACAAGGATATTTCTCCAGAGCCGAAAAAGACAAAGCCTTCCCTTAGACCTGGCACCTTGAATTTGGACTTCTAGCCTTCTAAACTGTAAGAAAATAAATATCTGTTGGTTAAAGCCACCTATTTGTGGCATTTCTGGTGTAGCAGCACTAGATAACTAAGACAGCGATACAACATGAAAATGGCTTGAAGGGAAGGCCATTTACTCTTTGCTTTCAGCTGGTAAATTTCTACCTTTGGCTATAGTCATGCCCATTGGCCTTAGAAAAAATGAGCATTTGGGGGATTACAACATCTCTTTTCAGCCAATGGGAATGAAGAAACTATCAACTTGCTTGTCACCCCTACTCCATCCAATCAGCATAGAGGAAAGGCTGCTCAGTCAAGGCTAGACTCAAACTATTTAGACCAGTCTCCTGGGACATTACCGGGCGGCAGGGGGAATAGAGCATTTAATTAAGCCCCACATGCAAGCAGTCAATTCCAATTTTCCACTTCTAATTTAGCGGAGAGTTTCAACTGGGCATGTATTAAGATACTATAGAATCTCTTAATGTCGGTGATGGGTTCTTCTAATTTTTACTTTAAATGTTCCTTTTAGCCCTGGCACTTTTTTTTTCAGATGTCTAGTATGTGAAACAAGAAAATGGAGATGCCTAGGTGGGAGCCAGTTATAGTCACTGGCAGAGCTGTAATGCGGAATAATTGCATCAGGCGTACAGCTCAAAAAAAGTCTTCAATCAGCAATGAGAGGGCTAGATGTGGGGTCTAATGTGGGTCCCAGGTCTTCCAGTGGCTGCTGAGGATTCCTCTGGTTCCAGGGGTGAGCTCACCACCACAGTACAAGGGGCTGTGGAAGAGGATTGATTGGGAGTCTGAGAGGGTGTCTAGAAATTCACACATTCTTATCGTCACACCCTGGGATGCAAAGCTCTGCCTGCTCAGCAGTCCTCTCCACCCACACAAGGGTGCTTTGTGGAACTCCAGTTAGAAAACCACAGATCTATTCCCGACCCCTCTGTTGATAGATGATGAACTGAGGCCCAGAGAGGGAAAGGGGCTTGCTCAAAGTCACATTGGGAGCAAAAGTCTGGACCTGAGCATCTTATACCCCCAAGTATAGTGTTAAAAGAATTAATGGAAGCATTGACCTTTTTAAACTTTGCCTGAGAGCAGCTATAAAAAAATTAGTCTGGAACAAAAGACTCATTGATGTTGTCCAAGATGCTTGGTGGCATAGTATCTCAACCAAATGCCCATGAGACTCTGTCAGTCACTTCTTGGAGCAGAGTGGCATGTGCAGGTGGGAATCTTACAGGATGTAGGCGCATTCCATGTGTGACTGGCCACCACCCCACTATGCAAAGAGCTCAGCTGGTGAAGTCTTAGCTTGAGGAGTACTAGGGGGCACCATGTTGACTCTTAGGGTCAACAGGGGTGGGGAAGTATGTCCATATCAGCTGAGAGGGCACTCTGAGGGAGCCAGAGAAAATGGGGGTTCCCTATGAGGCCAGGCTAGCTTGAAGCTAGATACTGGTGTAGGGTGTAGGGTGCTCCCCGGCACAGGGCCTTCAGCTGCTCTGACACCTGCACGTAGTGCAGTAGGTCTTCACTGAATACTAACAGAATGAATGAACAGCAAATAACTTCTTACTAGTATTAAAATGCTGAATGCTCTCACACATAGATTATATCAGGTTTGCAGGTGTCTCGACTACTTCATGTCACCCATTTGCATCCCAGTGTGCTTCCTTGAGTAGACTTACAGCCAACAGCAAAAACTGGCCGGGTCACTCATGAGACATGCCATCAAGACACCTCCCATATGTGTTCTGGTGGGGCGCAAAAAGATGACAGGCCAGGATTTGGCGTGACTTCTACAATTAATGACATGGGAGAGGTAGGCCCTTATATCTTGTCTGAACTACTGAACCATTCCCCATCCCAAACCAGTTGTCCCCTACCCCACCCAAACTCCATCATCATCCTCACCCACAGGTCTGTTCATATCACTCCTTTCCTCAAACATCAGTATCCCCCCCAAATCTACTGAAAGGGCCAGATTCTCTAGCCAAGCCCTCAAGGTCCACCACATTCTCATCTCAACCCACCTTTCCAGCTTCATCTCCCAAAATATCCTCCACTCTCAACCCTCCTTATCGCTCTATGAAGGCTTTTGCATCCATTCAAAATCCTATGCTCTTTTCTCTCTAGTCTCAGTATGTACTGCTTTTATCTCTAGTGATGGGGTCCTATGTCTGCCTCCTCCACTACATGCAAAGGGAAGAATCTGTTAATACATGAGTGAATAAATGAACTAATTAAAAGAAATTGAGAATGTGACCTTAGGGCATCAAGGAGCCTTGTCTAGGCAAGGGGCTAACCTTAAGCCTGCCCTTGCTTCTGCACCGAAGCTGCACTGTGTCCACCGGTGCTGCAACAAGAAGGCTTAGCTGAGGATTTAAAGCCAAGGTCCCTAGCAATGCTGGAAAAGCCAGTAGCAGGAGCAGCTCTCTAAAGGGACAATTTGGAGCCCTGTCAAGGCGAAGCATTGGATATCTGGAGAACCTCCCACCAAGAGTACCGTTGATTGAGGAGGACCTGCTGTGCTGGAAAGAGGCGCTCCTGCCCAAGACTCCAGGCATGTGAGGAGGGAGGCAGGCTTGCAGCCACCCACACCCAGTGTGGGATTTAATGCAAAGAGGCCAGTGCTGCCTTCTTGGCTAAGAGCTTCCAGAGCTGGGGGAAGGCAGCTGTGTTAGGGAAATACCTTTGGTGGTGGTAAGCAGAGAGAAAAAGTGTTGAGTCCTACTGCAACCCATGAAAAGGCTGACACCTCACAAATTTTGGGTGGGGAGATCTGATCAGAAGAGTTCCCAGGAAGGAGGGACTTAGAGGAAGAATGGAATTCTGTAGGCTTGATATTCAAATGTCAATGATGACCATGTCTATGAGCTTCCAGAACTCAGTTTGGGATGTTAAAGACTCAGCTGGGAAGGAAATGAGAATGAAAGGAGGCCAATCTGACTATCGAAACCGGATCTGCTATGTAAATGGACAGGAAGGGAGAAAAAGGCAAGTGAGATGGGTAAAGTCAGCCTGGGTCACCATGAGGGTCGAGAATCACACAAAGCCTGAACATCTTTGGCCTGAGTCCCTCCTAGCTTTGGGAACCTTCCCCCAGAGCTCTAGAGACCACCAGATGATCTATGGCTTGATACTGTGAGCTGGTTTCAGGCAAAAGCCATAGGTTGAAGTTGTAGGAGCCAAGCTCCCCATGTTTCCACGAAGGGGTTTGAGTTAAATGTAGTTGATGGGCGAGATAGGCCCTTCCAGGATCGGGTCATCCACGTCATTGAGGAGCTCGCGTTCGCTGGCGGTATTGGTGTTCTGGAGGCTGCGGAGGCGAGCTTGGACCTGCTCCTGCTCCTTCTTGAGCTCCAGGTAGGAATGGGAGAAGGTGTGGAAGATGGACGTGGCTGGGAAAGCCATGATGAGGATCCCACTGAGAATGCTGCTGAGAGCCACCATCTGGCCCGGCACACTGCGTGGGACCATGTCTCCGTAGCCCACCGTCGTCATGGAGATGATGGCCCACCAATAGGAGGCCGGGATGCTAGTGAACTCCAGGACCCGCCCAGACTCATTCTCAGCCATGTAGACCAGAGGGGAGAAGAGCGTGACGGCCACGCAGAGGAAGAGGAGGAGCAGGCCGAACTCGCGGGTGCAGCGGCGCACAGTGAGCCCGAGCGTCTGCAGCCCCAGCGAGTGGCGGGCCAGTCGCATCACGTACAGGATGCGCAGCGCCCTCAAGATGCGCAGAACCAGCCCCACCTTCTCCAGATAGGAGCTCCCGCTTGGCCTCTCGCCGTCCTCCTGGGGCTCAGCAGATACTGCGAGCGACACGTAATATGGGGAGATGGCCAGGATGTCGATGATGTTCAGGGGCCCTTGGAAGAACTGGCACTTGTTCCGGGCCTGGACAAACCGCAGGCAGAACTCCAGGGAAAACCAGGCCACGCAGATGGTCTCCACGATGAAAATATAGTAGCACTTTTGAGAGCATTCACCCTGGGGGGAGAAGAGACAACAAGAGGCAGGTTAGACAGTGGACCTGCAACAGCACTGGAAATGGTGGGAAATAACTCTAAGCCAAAAAGCCAGCCAGTATCTATTGATTGAGTTCTGTGGTGTAGACCCTTAGTTGTTCACCAAACCTGCTTTTACATAGTTCCCAAGTTGTGGCTGGGGACACAGGTGATCAGCTAGGTGATCACTCTTTCCAGCCTCCCTTGCAGCTAGGTGGGGCCAAATGACTAAATCCTTCCGTATGGGATGTGGACAGAAGTCATGTGTGCCCCTTCCAGATCCTAGACTTAAGATACAGGTGTGACCCCAAGAGTATGACCCCCGGACACCCTTTTAGCTCAGTAATGAAGTCACTCCCGAGGTTCATTGTTTAGCCAAAGATTAGACATCCCCATAAAACAAAACGAGACTAATGGGGCATAACAGTCCAGGGACAAAGACCAGAAGGCAGGAGAGGACAGGAAAGCTGGTAATAGGGAACCCAGGGTTGAGAAGGGACAGTGTTGACATGTCGTGGGGTTGTTAACCATTGTCATAAAACAACATGTGTACCAACTGTTTAATGAGAAACTATTTGTTTGGTAAACCTTCATCTAAAGTACAATTAAACAAAAGAGTCAAAAAGAAAAAAAAAAGATACAGGTGTGAGCTTCTTCACACTCTTTCCCCCTTCCTGTGAGCTGAGACCTCTCAGATGAGCCTGCATCCCAGTGTAGACCAGGCAGATTGGGCCAGCACCCCAGGGGAAGATGGAGTTCCAGGGTGGAGAAAATCGGGGTCTCAGAATGAGAGCTACTCACTCACCTAGATCCCTCATCATACTATTACACCAGCGAGAACTAAACTTCTCTTTTGTTTAAAGCCATTCTATCTTGAGGACTCCTTGTCATAGCAGCTAACCTTCATCTTAACTAATGTAAGCACCTCTGTTACACAAGACCACCACCCGTCTGTCAGTTTGTCATACTGTGGTGGCTTGTGTGTTGCTAACATGCTGGAAGCTATGCTATTGGTATTTCAAATACTAGCAGGGCCACCCATGGTGGACAGGTTTCAGCGGAGCTTCCAGACTAAGACAGACTAGGAAGAAAGGTCTAGCGATCTACTACTGGAAATCAGCCAATGAAAACTTTATGGTTATGGATCACAACAGAACATTGTCTGATATAGTGCTGGGAGATGCAAACATACCAATGATCATAAATATGGTGCAGGACCGGGCAGCATTTTCTTCAGTTATACATAAGGTCACCGTGAGTTGAGTCAACTCGATGGCAATTAACTACAACAATAATGTAACACAAGAGAGAAATAAAACTTCCATTTTGTTTAAACCCATTCTGTCTTGGGGCCTCTTTGATATAGCAGCTAACTTTCACCTTAACACCAGCACCTCTTGTGTACCATGCACTGCCTTAGTGCTGTCACTCGAGCCACATAATGATGCTGTGAGTAGGCAGTATGACCTCATTTGATGGTTGAGGAAATGGTTCAGAGCCACAAAATGATGTACCTGAGCTCACATATGTAGTAGGTTGTAGAGTCCACAAAGAGCGCTGGTGGCACAGTGGTTAAGAGCTCGGCTGCTAACAGAAAGGTCAAAGGTTTGAACCCACCAGTTTCTCCGAGGGAGAAAGATGTGGCAGTCTGCTTCCATAAAGATTACAACCTTGGAAACCCTATGGGGCAGTTCTACTCTGTCCTATAGGGTAGCTATGTTGACTGGACAGCATTGGTGGTAGAGTCCAGACTCTAACCCAGTCACTATATTTTGTAACTTAATCTATTTTGTGATTTCTTTGTCTGCCATCCCACACTCATTCATCCAACACATATTTATTGAGGGTCCACTTTGTGCCGGCCACTGTGCTCAGCTCCAGGGGTACAATAGCTGAAGAAGCAGACATAGTTCTGGGGGTGCTTGAAGGCTGGTGAGGGAGAGGGCTTGATGGAACTATTCATGCAATAGGCGTTTCCCTCACTGGATTCCAGCAAGGTGGGAGCTGTTCTGTACTTGTCATTGTGTTGTTCACCCCCGTGGCCCTGGCTCCTTAAAAGAGTAGTTCCAGTAGCCCCTGTGCTACACAGAGTGTGGTCCCTGGATGAATGGCATCAGCATCCCCTGGGAAAAAACCAAAACCAAACCTGTTGCCTTCGAGTCGATTCTGACTCATAATGACCCCTTTGGACAGAGTAGAACTTCCCCATAGGGCTTCCAAGGCTGTAATCTTTATGGAAACAGACTGCCACGTCTTTCTCCCTCAGAGAGACTGGTGGGTTCAAACCTCCAACCTTTCTGTTAGCAGCTGAGCTCTTAACCACTGCACCATGAGCGCTCCTTCTTCCCTTGGGGGCTTGTTAGAAATACAGAATCTCCGGCCAGTCCCACTCCATCCCTACCCAGTGAGAATCTGCGTTTCCAACAAGATCCCCAGGTGATTTATGGGCACATTAACATTTGGAAAGCACTGGTGGGTGGCGGGAAGGACTATGGTTCTCAGCCTTGGCTGCACTTTAGACTCACCTGTGGAGCTATGAAAAATCTTGATGTCCAGACTGTGCCCCCGGAGACTAATTGATTTACGTTAGGGCCTGAGCAGTCCAATTTTTCAAAAGCTCCATAGATGATTCTAATGTGGGGCCAGGGTTGAGAACTTGGCTATAAATATTATATACATAGTTGACAGATGAATGAATGAATGGCTGAAGTCAGTTGCCTGAGTGAAAAGCAAGATGTTGACAACCGCAGTTTTCTTTGGATTAAAATGCTGTGAAGTGGAAAAAGAAATCATTTCCAGTGCCTGGGCCTACATGAATACAAAATTGAAATTTTCTTTATGTCTGGCTGCAGGAGAAAGAGAAGCAGACAAGTCCACTTCAATCTTTATTTGCTTGTGCAAGATTGAGCAACTTTCTCCCTTTATGTCTGCCTGGTCGACTGAAGGGGTAGGAGGCAGTGGATGTGGTGTTGAGGACATGGAGCCCAGAGCCTGAGGCCTGGGTCCAAATTCCAGCTCTTTCACTGACTTAGCCAAATCATTTGGCCCCTCTGGACTTTCAATTCCCTCCTCCCAGAAGGGGCTTCCCTGAGAGGTGTAAGCAGTCAATGAGTTCAGCTGCTAACGTAAAGGTTGGCGGTTTGAATCCACCTAAAGGAGCCTCAGAAGAAAGGTTTGGTGATCTACTTCTGAAAACTCAGCCATTGAAAATCCTGTGAAGCACAGTTCTACTCTGACACACATAGGTTCGCCAGGAGTCATAGTCTACTGGTTACCCCCGAAGGGTTGTTGTAATAAATGGAAATAAGCTATATAAAGCACTTAGCAGGATGCCCCAAGGATGTTGTACCTAGCAGGCACACAATACATTGTAGATATTTCTATGAGATGATACAGTAGTCATGGTCACAGGCAATAATAGCCTGCCTGGTCAGTATAAGGATAGCAATGCCCTCTTTCTACCTGGCATTTCACAGGAAGCCAAAGAAAGTCTCCAACACAGTGAGAGGTCTTAGCCATGACCTCCTGGGATTTGCATTAGGATCCTAGAGGGCTCCAAGTTTTGGATCCTGATCCCCCTTGGTCTTACCACTAACTTGCTGTGTGACCTCACAGCCAGCCGTCACTAGCTCTCTCTCTCTGCTTCAGTTTCCAATGAAGAGGTTGGAACAGAATCATATTTCTCAAAGCTGATTCAGAATCTCCTGTGTCACATTCCCCTGAGGTGCTTGTCATAAACGCAGATTCCTGGATTACAGAATCTCAAAACCCTGGGGTGGGGCCCAGGAGTCTGCACTTTGGGAAGCTCCCCAGTTGGTTATGAGGCACCTGGAAGTTTTTCAGACTCTGATCTAGATTTTCCCTACAAAGCCTCTTTCTCCTCTGACATGCCGGGGTGTTTTTCCTTGGCTTAAGGGACTCTTTCAGTCCAGGAGTAACTTTACCAAACCAGTAACGCAACAGCTCAGGAAGGTGACTCCTGAGGCTGAGAAGGCTCCTTCGGGTTCCCTCTCTGCCTCTGGCACTTGCGTTTGGATATTCAAAGCATGCACCACACACCTCCTCCCCTCCGGAGGCCTGGCCTGCCGGCTACTTCCCCGCACTGCAGCAAGTGTCTGCCGAGTCACTCCACCTGCATTGCTGCTCTGCTCTGCATCCTTAAACCAACTTCCTGTCGCTGGGCGAGGAGCAATGGCCGCAGAGCAGCATATATAGGGTGGTGGAGATTTACTGGGCTCGAGCTGAGGAAATAACTCCCAGCCCAGCCAATGTTTGAAGAGATAAAGAAAAAGGGAAAAAGTTCTTCTCTCTCTAAGGAAGTTTCTGGCTGTATTTTGCAGTGAGGGTGAACAACCTGTCCTGGTTTGCCCAGAACTTTCTGGACTTGACCACTGGAAGTTTCACTTCCCGGGAACACCCTCAGTTCTGGGCAAACCGGGCTGTTGATCACCCTATTTGCAGCCCTCATCAGCAGCATGAATCAGGCATGCTCTGAATCTTCATGCAAAGAAGGAGAAGTTAAGTCAACCCCGAGGAGGCTGGAAGTGTGAAATATTTGGGTGAGACGCTACAACACCGATGAATCTCACAGCTGAGATGTTGGGCAAAAGATGCCAGACACAGAAGAAAGCCCATTGGATTTCCATTTTCAAAAACAGGCAGAACTCATGTAAGGTGCACAAAATCATCAATGCAGCGATTGCCTCTGGGTGGGTAGGCGTTGGCTGTGAAGGGACATGACGGAGCTTTCCGGGGTGATGGAAATATTCTATGTTAAATATTAAGTATGGCTTATTAAATAGATGTGTGGCTTACACAGTACATCCATTTGTTAAATTATACAGCTAATATTTCAATATATGTAAATTTTGCCTATAAAACCGTAAAATAAAAATAAATCTAATGATAATAATAGTAAGCGATTAGGGATGGGAGTGGGCAGAGATAGAGAGGAAACAAGAATGGCAGATTGTGGACAATTGT